GGGTTGATCTCGCATCAGCGCATCGAATCTCCTCTGCTGCACACACCATGCCGCGGTAGTTGATGTAGTTCCTGGCAATCACCTGTTGCCGGACTTCCATTTTTAGCCCCTCAGTATACGCTTGGATTTTTTCCCCTTCGGTCAGGTCGGTAATTCGGTTGAAGAGGCTCTCCATCTGCTGCGTGTACTGTGTTACACTGCCGAACTGTTTATGCCGACGAATCTGCTGCCGCGCCATGTAGCTGGAGTTGATTGGTTCGAAACGTTGAATTAATGCTTCCCGAAACTGCGTCCATGACCCCTCGCCTCGGACTTCGTTGCTATTGTAAATCCACTCGAGCGCCGGGCCTCGTAACAGTGCCTGCGTTTTCGGGTCTGGGGTGCTCGTGCCCTTGTCTGCGATACGTCCGCGGACAAGCTCTCCTCCCGCACCATTCCCTGTGTCTTCCTTGGCTTTGTCCCTGACGCGCCTGGCTGGCAGTTTTACCACCCCACCTCGAGCTGTGTCTTCCCCTCTCAGGACGTCACCTTTGACGAGTCGGTTCCTTTCTACCGTCTCTTCCAATACCGCACTGCCCCTCTCCCTCCCCCGCCGCTTTTCCTCGCTCCAGGTCCCCCTCCGGTCGACCCCCTCCCCCCTCAGGGTCCTGCTCCTTCAGGTGTGTCTCAGGTAGACCCGCCCCCCTTGCCTGAGCCTGTAGAGGTCACTAGCGACTCAGGTGCTGCTGCGGGAGGTGCTGCTGGAGGTGCTGCTTCTGAGGGTGCTGAGCCTGCGCGTGAGGTGCTGGGGAGTGCGGAGCCTGGGGGTGCTGAGCCTGCGGCTGCGGAGTCTGGGGGTGCTGAGCCCGTCCGTGAGGTGCCGGGGGGTGCGGAGCCAGGGGGTGCTGAGTCTGCTGGCGTTCCTTTGGGTCTCGTCACACGACGCGGGCCTGTCTCACCACAGCAGGCACGAGAGTGGCTTGCGTCGCGTACCCGCCTGAGGAGTCGTGCTGCTAGAGCTGCTTGTCGTGGAGGCGCTGGGATTGCTGGTGTCTCTGGTCCTAGAGGTGCTCGTACTGGAGGTACTGGAGCTGCCGGGACTAGTGCTGCTCCTGGAGCTGGAGGTGTCGGATCTGGGAGTGCTGCTGCTGGAGGTACTGGGGCTGGAGGTCCTGGAGCTGGTGTTGTCGACCCTGGCGTTGGAGACCCTGGTGCTGGAGGTGCCGGTTCTGGGGGTGCTGCTGCTGGAGGCCCTGGCGCTGGTCCTGTCGACCCTAGAGTTGGGGACCGTGAGGCTGGAGGTGCCGGTTCTGGGGGTGCTGCTACTGGTGGCACTGGAGCTGGAGGTTCTAGAGCTGCTGGAGGCGCTGGAGCTGGAGGTACTACTGCTGGAGTCCCTGGAGCTGGAGGTACTACTGCTGGAGGCGCTGGAACTGGAGGTGCTGCTGCTGGAGTCGCTAGAGCTGGAGGTTCTGAGGCTGCTGGAGGCGCTGGAGCTGCTGGAGGCGCTGGAGCTGGAGGTGCTGCTGCTGGAGTCACTGGAGCTGGAGGTGCTGCTGCTGGAGGCGCTGGAGCTGGAGGTTCTGGAGCTGCTGGAGGCGCTGGAGCTACTGGTACTGGTGGCCCTGCACCGTCGCGACTGTTTTTCGCTCCGCCATCACCGTCGTCTCTGCCACCGCCTGACTCCGTGCTTCGCCAGGTTCTTAGCCTCCCGTCTTCCACTGGCCTCCCGTTACAGCCCGACGCACCACCGCCTGCTCCTTCTCCTTACACTGAGCAGGCAGACTCGCTTACAGAGCGTCGTGAGCCTGCGTCTCGTCCTGCCTTGCCTTTTCGCGCTGGTCGCACTGGTCGTCGTGTTCCTCGTGAGCGTCCGCCTCCCGTCCCTGGCACGCACGCTATGGCACTTCGTCCTTCCTCTGTTCCACAGCGTGTTCCCCTACCGTCTCCTCCTCCGTCTTCTTTGCCTGACGTTCAGGACCCTTAATCTGACCTGGTTCGTGTTTCTCACCCTACTGTCACGCGTCTGCTAGCCACTATTGTCACTGACCCGTCGTTTGAGTCTGCTGCTACGTCTGCCTTAGTCTCTGAGCTTGTTGACTTTGCTGCTGCCTGTCGTCTTGACTTCGCTGCTAGTGTTGTTGCTGAGTCTGAGTTTGTCTGTCCTCCATCCGTCGGGGGTGAGTGTGCTCTTGGCACGGACGTCCTTGAGGACAGGTAGGAGGACTTTGAGTGTCTTGCAGCCGCTGCGCCTCATCTCGTGGCCATGCTGCTTGCCCCTGAGGGAGACCCGGATGCCCCAGACATCCCGACTCCGCGCTCTTACGCTGAGGCGATCACGGGTGAGTACTCCTCTCAGTGGCAGACAGCCATGGACGCAGAGATGGCATCCTGGAAGTCCACAGGCACTTACGTCGATGAGGTTCCCCCTCCTGGGGCGAACATCGTCGATGGCATGTGGATTTTCAGGGTGAAGCGGCTGCCAGGTTCTCCTCCTGTCTTCAAGGCTTATTACGTTGCACGAGGCTTCATTCAGCAACAAGGAGTTGAATTCTTCCAGACCTTCTCCCCCACCCCGAAGATGACCACTCTTCGGGTGTTGCTGCACGTTGCCGCTCAGCGTGACTACGAGCTTCACTCTCTGGACTTCAGCACAGCGTTCTTACAGGGCAGTCTGCACGAGGAGATCTGGCTGCGCCACCCACCTGGCTTCACTGGGTCGTTCCCTCCTGGTACCCAGTGGAGCCTCCGTCGGCCAGTCTACGGTCTCCGTCAGGCGCCTCGTGAGTGGCACGACACACTGAGGACGACACTTGCGACTCTTGGGTTCTCCCCTTCCACTGCTGACCCGTCGCTGTTTCTACGCACCGACACTTCACTGCCGCCGTTCTACATCCTCGTGTACATCGACCACTTGGTCTTTGCCACTGCTGACACTGAGGCTCTCGCCCTTGTGAAGTTGGAGCTGCAGAAGAGACACACGTGCACAGACCTGGGTGAGCTGCGTAGTTACCTTGGCTTGCAGATCACCCGAGACAGAGCACGCCGCACCATCACCCTGACTCAGTCACACATGGTGCAGCAGGTCCTTTAGTGCTTCGGCTTCACTTGGTCCTCGCCACAGTTCACTCCTCTGGCTACAGGCCACTCGCTCTCAGCTCCACCTTCGGACGAGTCCGTAGAGCCGAGTGGCCCGTACCCTGAGCTAGTGGGCTGCCTCATGTACCTGATGACCTGCACTCGTCCTGACCTTGCGTACCCTCTTGGCCTTCTGGCACGCTACGTGGCTCCTGGTAGGCACCGAAAGGTGCACATGGATGCTGCAAAGAGGGTACTGCGCTACTTGTGCAGTACATCGGGCATGGGGCTCGTGCTTGGAGAGCGGAGCTCAGTTGTCCTCACTGGGCACTCAGACGCTTCTTGGGTTGACGATCTGGCTACGCAGCGGTCGTCACAGGGTTACACATTCAGCCTTGGCTTTGGCTCTGTTTCTTGGCGATCTACTCGCTCGTCTTCTGTTCTCAGCTCCAGTTGTGAGGCTGAGATCTACGCCACAGCCATGGCTGCACAGGAGCTACGCTGACTTACCTACCTGCTGACTGACTTGGGAGAGAGGCCTCGTTCTCCTCCAGTTCTGTACGTCGACAACAAGGCTGCCATTGCCTTGTGTTAGGACCACAGACTGGAGCACAGAACGAAGCACATCGCTCTGCGTTACTTCCTTGCTCGAGAGTTGCAGCAGCGTGGTCAGATTTGTGTCGCTCACGTGCCCACCTGGGCCAACACTGCTGATGTGTTCACCAAGGCCCTTCCGGCTGGTGATCATCATCCCTTCTGCACTACTCTAGGCCTGGTGCCTACGTTTCCTCACTTGCTGTAGACTCTGGTTGTACTGTGATCTATATATGTATACCTGCATGTTTACTCTTGCTAGGTAGTGTTCACTGTACTGTTGTTGTTGCATATATACCTCTGCATGTGAACTGGCCTTGTGGCCCCTTTGCTTGTGCTCGAGTGTGTGGTGACGTTGTGATCCACCCCGAGCTTGCTTTGCTTTGCTTTTCTTGACCGGTCTTGTGACCCCTTGTTCTCCCCCACTTTGCCTATGGGGGTGTGTCAAACTATATATGTGTTAGTTCTGTGTAGGCTATAGTGGGGTAGCCCATATGGGGTACAACCCGAAGTTAGGGTTAGTACTTGTACCCACATTCCATTCAATGCAACCATTCCTGCTTGCTATTTTGACATCATCGATGCATTTTAGCATTCTCCCCAAGACATTCGTACTGTAATTGTTATGTGTTGGTCTTTGTTGTACTCGTACAATGTCACGTATGCTCGTTCATGTTTGTTGTAAGGTATCATGTTAAAGTGTGTCGGGTCTGCAATTCAGGTGGGGATCGTTGTTGGGGCAGCGTTGCTTGCCTTAGCATACCGGATCCATCGCTATTGTAGCACTGATGCATTTTACCGTTCACTTTATGACATTTGTAGTTGTTCAGTGTTGTCGTTTTTGCACATGTTCAATGGATTCAAATTCCGTAATTTTCATCCACGTCGAATGTGTTGTCTCGGCAATTGTGTTTGATGTAAAACATGGCAAGGCTACTAATTGCTTCCATTCGCTGTATTTATCGATGATTATGGAATGGTTGGTGTCATTTGGTTGCACTTCTTTTGGAGACTCATATGTATCAGTGCCCGCATCTCCACGTTTTTGGAGCACTCAAAAAAGCGTCAAAAGGAGTGCTTCAGGCGTTGGGAGAATACGAAAGATGCACTGTTCATTCGAGTCGACCGAAAAAAGTGCTACCAAATGTGAAGGGGTTGCTATGCAACCCAAAAATGATTGTTGCACTTCTATGCAGTGATTAATGGTGATCTATATGGTTGCTCCATTGAGCTCAGAGTGTTGTATTTCAAAACTACCATCAAATACATGTCATGGCTTCGTCATTATACTATCCAACATCCACCACATCACAGCAAGATGCATAGTGGACCTCCTGTACAAATACAAATCAGAAAATCAGATGTGACAAGGAAAGATGGAACTTCATAATATGAGGGATGTATGCGATGTGAGGTGACGATGGGACGGGGAGAGGAGGTGGCGTGACGATGGGACGAGGAGAGGAGGAGGTGGCGTGACGATGGGACGGGGAGAGGGACAGGGGGATGGAATGGGCGTATGCAAAGTGGTGCAGTTGGTCTTGTAGACTGGCGATGAGATGAGAAGGGAGAAAGGGTGGAGATGAGAAGGGAGAAAGGGTGGAGATGAGAAGGGAGAAAGGGTGGAGATGAGAATGGAGAAAGGGTGGAGATGAGAAGGGAGAAAGGGTGGAGATGAGAAGGGAGAAAGGGTGGGGATGAGAAGGGAGAAAGGGTGGAGATGAGAAGGGAGAAAGAGTGGAGATGAGAAGGGAGAAAGGGTGGAGATGAGAAGGGAGAGGGTGGAGATGAGAAGGGAGAAAGGGTGGAGATGAGAAGGGAGAAAGGGTGGAGATGAGAAGGGAGAAAGTGTGGAGATGAGAATTGAGAAAGGGTGGAGTTGAGAAGGGAGAAAAGGTGGAGTTGAGAAGGGGGACGGTGGAGATTGGGTCATTGCGTGTGTGACGACACGGGAGTGAGCGAGGGCAGTGGAAGGGGTGTGAGATAACGCGACGGAGGGAGTGAGCGAAGCCGACGGGAGGGGGGTGAGCATGGGCGACGGACGCGAGTGAGAGTGTGCAACGTGCGGGCAGTGACGTGGGCGACGGATGGGGAGAGAGCGTGCGCGACGGGGAGGAGTGAGCGTGGGCGACGAGAGGGAGAGCGCGTGGGCAACGGAGGGGAGTGAAGGTGGGCGATTGAAGGGGGTGAGCATGTGCGACGGAGAGGACCATCGCCGCGGGAGGGAGTGAGCGCGGGCGGCGGAAGGGGAGTCGTCGAGTGCGCGGGAGGGAGTGCGCGTGGACGGCAGAAGGAGAGTGACCGAATGGGACGGGAGGGAGTTCGCATGGGCGATGGGGAATGGGCGAAGACGACGCGAGGGAGTTGGGTTGGGCAATGGAGGGGACAGAGCGAAGGCGACGGGAGGGGGTGGGGAGAGGAGGGGACGCAGTCACGAAGGAAGGTGACAGTAGCGGAGGGGGAGAGGAGCAGATGGGGTGAGGAGATGGGGTGAGGCGGAGATGGGGTGAGGAGGGGTGGACGGAAAGAGGAGATGGGATGAGGGGGGGATGGGGAGAAGAGGAGATGGAGTGAGGAGGGGACGGGGAGAGGAGGAGATGGAGTGAGGAGGGGATGGGGAGAGGGAAAAGTGGGTTGAGGATACGAAAAGGGAGGACGTGCGGAGATGATTTGGGTGAACGGGAGGAGCTGAAAAGGGAGAGCGTGGGCAGCAACGTGCGACGAGGGGGAATTGGCTGTGTGCGACGAGCAGGGGTGAGCGTGTGCGACGGGAATGAGTGATCATCTGTTCAAGGGGTGTGAGCATGTGCGATGGGAAGGATGTTGAGTGATGCTACCATTCGCATTCACGTCTGTCTGCCTCCCATCATATGTTCGTGCGTTGCATGTGTGTTGTGAGTGTGTGCAAGAATTTGTGTTTTGTGCGGTTTGGTTTTTCTGAGTGTGTGTGAATGTTATTTGGCTTGAGCAGATATCTGAATTGACTCCTCTGCTCAAGAGCTTTCCGACGAACCAAGTATCGCTTCAATCGGAGCACGAACAAGAAAGTTACGAACGTTGGAGTTCGTATGCTTTTGATATTTGGTTGTGGTGACTATGGGAAGTTGTGGGGTTGACTCAATATGGGGTACAGACTTTTGGGGGTTGGGAAATTCGTCTTTTCTACTGTAGTTGCTGCCAAATGGTTGGGAGAAACCAAACCAGGTTGGCAAGTGTGGCCAAGTTGGGTTGAGGTGGATTGTGGAGGTTGGGATAGTGACAAAGGTCAAAGTTGGGTTGCCTATGGGGAAGGGAATTGTATGGCATGGGGTTTCCCTGGTTGGGGACTCTCTTGGGACCTTCCCTCTTGTCCTCCTCATCCCTTCCACCTGGTTTAGTGCTACTCTAATTCTCTTGTGTGAACTTGTGTGAACTTTGTGATTGAGTTAAGTTCTTATGGCAGCATACCTCCCTGTGCGCCGAAATTGATAAGTCGAGATTTACTTCACCTCTTGATACGTTTCAACTTGGGAATTGTAGCCACGGAGTAGGGCTACAACATATCTGAGTTTGGTGAAGTTTTGACTGTGCACTTTTCGTCGACGGCGTTTCTTGTGAGCGCAACTATTCTGTCCAGAAATAGGGACCAACGATTTTGAGAAATTTAGGCACCTAATCTTCATAGACTCCGTCCTTAGTCTCTAACAAGTGGTATCAAAGCTCATTAAGGACTTTGTGGAGAGTCTACTGAAGTGTGAAGACCCTCCTAGACCCTCCATGGCCTGTGGGCGTGCCTAAGTGGAGTTCTGGAGGTTGGATGCGACTTCCGCTAAGGGGAAACTCTGCCGAAATTTCGTTGGTGCCGACACTTGTGAAGATTGTGTGGATCTACATTGTGACCAGCAAAGGGGGGAGCTGAAACCTCTGATTGGGAGCAGAGGAGATGAATCAAGGGAGTGGAGATGCAGCTGAGAAGAGGAGTGAACCGCCACCATCCAAGATCGAAGCTTTGGATGGCTCCAACTATGAGGAATGGAGCGGGCGGATGCGGAGCGCCTTCAAGCGCTACAAGCTGCTGAAAATTGCAATGGGAGAGGAGAAGATGCCGGGGGAAGGAGATGCCCGCGATCGGTGGATTGAGAAGAGCGCGGTGCTGTACGACCTCATCCTCCAATCGGTCAACAACGACATGTTCCAGCACATCAAGGATTTGGTGGAGTTGGATGATTCCGGACCGAAGGCATGGAAGCTGCTACGCGACGTGATTCAGTCAACACGCTGCCGATGGTGATTGTGTTGGAGAAGGAGTTGGCTGCCCTCTCCATGAAACCGGGAGATGATGTGAAACCGGTCCTTGACAAGATCAAGGACACCTATGCGAGGATGGCAGCGGCGGGTAGCGAAGTGTCGCAGATGCAACAGTGCACCAAGATCATCTCGGTGCTCGACAACTCGTGGGACAACCTCATCCCCACCCTCAATGTTCAGCAGGACAAATGGACGCCTGAGTGGCTACGGCAGCAGATTCTGCAGGAGGACTTCCGCAGACGCCACACGGGAGATGGTGCTGCCAACAAAACTGCTGAGGGGTATGGAGCTGCAGGAGGCAGCAGAGGAAGAGGGGGAGGGAGAGGCCGAGGCCGTGGGAGAGGCTTTGGCAGAGGGAGAGGCCGAGGTGACTACAATGAGGGGCATGGGAGCTCTGTTGGCAGGGGGAGCACCCCAATGGAGGGTGCGTGCTGGTACTGCAAGAAGGCTGGACACCCGTGGTTCAAGTGTTTCAGCCGGCCTGAGGGATGGGCCCCTCCAGGCATGAAGCCGCCAAGTGGTGAACGTGCACGCGGTGGCGCTGTGCAAGGTTCAGGTGCACAAGGTGATGGTGCACAAGGTAAAGCCGACCCTGGGATGTTCCTCATGGTTGAGGATGTGCAAGGGAGTGGGGGTGATGTGGGTTCAGTTGGGAAGGTTGTGATGCACCCCCTCGCTCACTGGGTGATCGATTCAGGTTGCACGAGTCATATGACCCCACGGGCAGATTTGCTTGATGAGGTAAAACCTCCTGGGAAGATCAAGTTTGTGGCTGCCGCTTCAGGTGCTTTGCTCCCTGTGATTGGTGTTGGGAATGCCAAGGTGATCGGAGCCAATGGAGAGCTTGTGGGGCTTGGGAATGTGCTGTTGGTTGAAGGTTTGTCCGCTAACCTTCTTTCTGTGCGCCGGCTGCAGAAGAGCAAGGCTGAAGTTACCTTCGGCCCAACCAGCTGCCGTGCAAAGCTTGGGAAGTTGCTGTTGTGGAATTGGAGGAGAAGAGCAGCTGCATCAAGGACCTGTGGCAGCTGCCCGTCATCCCTTGGAAGGGGAAACCACCAGCAACGGCAAAGGCAGCGGCAGCGGCTAAAGCAACTGCGGGAGGAGAGGAGACTGCACCAACTGCTGGGGCCCTGGATGCAGTCAAGAAGGTGCAGCAGCCACAGCAGCCACATGGTGAGGTGCTTGCTGGTGTGGATGCGACAGCTGCATGGGCAAAGGCTTCATCTGGGAGTGGTGAGGCTGATTGGGAGACGTGGCATGAGAGGCTGTGCCATGTGAACATTCCTATGCTGCAGAAGTTGGTAAAGGATGGGTGCTTGAAGGGGCTGAAGGTGAAGGGGGCAGCGAAGGAGATTGGGAGCTGCCCTACATGCCTTGAAACGAAGTTCACGAAGTTTCCCTTCAGCAGCAGCACGGGACCAGCCAAGGCACCGCTCGCGCTTGTGCACATGGATGTGGTGGGCCCCACGAGGGCCCTTTCTCTCTCGGGCAGCCGCTACTTCTTGACCATTGTGGATGACCACACGCGTGCGGTGTGGGTCTACCTTCTGAAGACTAAGGGGGAGGTGGCAGCGGCTGTTCTCAAGGAGTGGATGCCGAGAGCTCAAAGGGAGAGCGGACATAAGGAGAAGGTGATCCGCACTGACAACGGGGGAGAATTCATTGGCGCTGATTTTGAGGCGGTGCTGAAGAAGAAGGGGATCTAGCATCAGCTCACGGTGCCCTACAACCCTCAGCAGAACGGTGTGGCTGAGCGGTTCAACCGGACCCTGCAGGAAGGTGCTCGCACTCTCCTTGGGCGTGCAGGGCTGCCGGATCCGTTTTGGGTGACTGCACTGCGGCAGGTCGCCCTTGTGAAGAACAGGGTGCTGGCGACTGTGGGGGACAAGCAGTGGGTCCCCTACACCAAGTGGTATGGGAGTGCACCAGCTGTGAACATGCTGAGAGCCTTTGGGTGCATAGTGGTGTTTCATGTGCCTAAGGAGAAGAGGGGAAAACTGGAAGCTTCTGGGAGATGGGGTGTGCACTTGGGGCTTGCTAAGGATCACAAGGGCTGGCTGATTTGGGACTTGACCAGCCAGCAGCTGACTGTGTCAAGGGATGTGAAGTTCCTTGAGTCCTTGTACTACAAGGAGTGGAAGCAGCAGCAGCAGAAGCTTCCTACGACCACGCTAATTGTCGAGGCCGATGAGGTGCAGCGGCCTTCGAGGCAAGTGGAGGTTTCTGTCTCTGAGAATGAGATCTCTGGGGTGACTGAGGATGGGGGAGAACCTGAGGTGGAGGAGCAGCAGCAGCAGCAACAGCAGCAGCAGCCGCAGCAGCAGGAGGAGCAAGGTGCTCCACAAGGTGCCGGACGTACGGCTGACCGTCCTAGGAGGGATGTGCGCCCTCCTAACAGGCTGACCTATGCAAGCCGTGGCAAGCCAAAGGTGGTAAGGGCTGGGAGTGTGGCTGAGCAGTGTGATGAGGATGAGATAGCACACTGCTACTGGGCAGCCGTCCCTGAGCCCAAGAAGCTAGCTGAGGCATTGAGCGGGCCCGATGCTGAAAAGTGGAAGCAGAGTGTGAAGGAGGAGTATGATTCTCTGCTGGAGAATGAGACGTGGGAGCTGTGTGAGCTGCCACCCGGGAAGAAGGCCATTTCTTCCAAGCTGATTTTCAGGCACAAGTACGGACCTGATGGGGCGCTGACCCGCTACAAGTCAAGGCTTGTGGCTAAGGGGTTTCAGCAGACAAAGGGAAAGGACTTCAACGAGCTCTATGCTCCTGTGGGGAAAGGCACAACACTTCGGGTGTCATTGGCAATGGCAGCAAACTGTGGATGGCGGGTGAAGCAGATGGACATCACCACCGCCTGCCTCAATGGGATCATTCTGGAGGAGCTGTACATGTTACAGCCTGAGGGTTTGGATGATGGGAGCGGCAGGGTGTGCAGGCTGAAGAAGGCCATCTATGGCCTGAAGCAGGCTCCTCGTGCATTGTACCACAAGTTAGAGGAGACTCTGCTGGCTGGGGGTTTCAAGAAGAGTGAGTGTGATTACAGCTTGTTCCTGCTGCAGGAGAAGGAGCAGTTTCTCATGCTCCTGGTGTATGTGGACGACATCCTGCTCTTCTCTGAGTCGTCTGCAATGATTGAGCATGTGGAGGAGATGCTGGAGATGCAGTTTAAGTTCTCCAAGATGGGAGATGTGAAGTACTATTTAGGGATGCATGTGGAGAGGGACCTTGACAAGGGAGTGTTGAGGTTGCACCAGAGAAAGTATTGTGAGGGGCTGGCTGAGTAGTATGGGCTGCAAGATGGAGGAAAGCCAGCCACCCCACTGCCTTCGGGGTTCACTGTGGAGCCCTGTGCTGATGAGGAGGTGGTGGGTGAGAGTGACAGGAAACTTTTTCATTCCATGGTTGGGGCACTCAACTATGCGGCTAACCACACACGGCCTGACATTGCCTTTGCAACATCCAGGCTTGCCAGTGTGGTTTCACGCCCCAGTCATGAGCAGCTGGAAGCGGCCAAGAGGTTGGTCCGCTATGTGAGTGCAACGGCATCAGTGGGTTTGGAGTACAGTGCTGTGAGGCAGAGGCTGCAGAGGGGTGCAGCTGATTTGAGCAAGGGGGAGATGCTCCTGACCTGCTACACTGACGCTAGCTTCAACTCGGTGAAAGCGGATGGCACCAAACACATCAGGCCTAAGTGGCCTGTTCGGAGGTGGTGCAGTGAGCTGGCGCAGTAAGAAGCAGAATGAGGTGGGGCAGTCCTCGTGTGAGACAGAGTACATGGCCCTGCATCATGGGGCAAAGGAGGTGGTGTGGCTGAGGCGTTTGTTGGAGGAGATTGAAGTTGGTCAGAGGGAGCCGACTGTGATTTTCTGTGACAATGAGTCGGCGGTGAAGCTAGCGAAGAATGCTTGTCTTCATGGGCTGACCAAACACATCAGGCCTAAGTGGCACTGGGTGAGAAGGCTCCTGGACAAGGAGGTGCGGCTGGAGATTGTGAAGACCCATCAGCAGGCGGCTGACATTCTCACCAAGCGCCTGGCTGAATCTGAGCATTGGAAGGGCATGAAGCTTGCTGGGATGAGTGTGCATTGAGGGTGCATGCTTGAACTATGGCATGTGGGATGATGGTTGGCAGCCAGAGGGGGAGTTTGTTGAGTGATGCTACCATTCGCATTCACGTGTGTCTGCCTCCCATCATATGTTCGTGCGTTGCATGTGTGTTGTGAGTGTGTGCAAGAATTTGTGTTTTGTGCGGTTTGGTTTTTCTGAGTGTGTGTGAATCTTATTTGGCTTGAGCAGATATCTGAAGTGACTCCTCTGCTCAAGAGCTTTCCGACGAACCAAGTATCGCTTCAATCGGAGCACCAACAAGAAAGTTACGAACGTTGGAGTTCGTATGCTTTTGATATTTGGTTGTGGTGACTATGGGAAGTTGTGGGGTTGACTCAATATGGGGTACAGACTTTTGGGGGTTGGGAAATTCGTCTTTTCTACTGTAGTTGCTGCCAAATGGTTGGGAGAAACCAAACCAGGTTGGCAAGTGTGGCCAAGTTGGGTTGAGGTGGATTGTGGAGGTTGGGATAGTGACAAAGGTCAAAGTTGGGTTGCCTATGGGGAAGGGAATTGTATGGCATGGGGTTTCCTTGGTTGGGGACTCTCTTGGGACCTTCCCTCTTGTCCTCCTCATCCCTTCCACCTGGTTTAGTGCTACTCTAATTCTCTTGTGTGAACTTGTGTGAACTTTGTGATTGAGTTAAGTTCTTATGGCAGCATACCTCCCTGTGCGCCGAAATTGATAAGTCGAGATTTACTTCACCTCTTGATACGTTTCAACTTGGGAATTGTAGCCACGGAGTAGGGCTACAACATATCTGAGTTTGGTGAAGTTTTGACTGTGCACTTTTCGTCGACGGCGTTTCTTGTGAGCGCAACTATTCTGTCCAGAAATAGGGACCAACGATTTTGAGAAATTTAGGCACCTAATCTTCATAGACTCTGTCCTTAGTCTCTAACAAAGGAGTTATCATCCGCTCGAAGGGTGTGCGCATGGGCGACGGAAAGGAGTGATCATCCGCGACGGAGGGAAGTGAGCGTGCGCGATGGCGACGGGAGGGGAGGGCGAGAGCTCATTCGAGGGAGGAAGCGTGAGCGATGGAGGGGAGTGCGTGTGTGAGACGGAAGAGGACCGAGTGCTTACAACGGGGAGAAGAAGCAGCGCGACGAAGTAATCGGATAAAAACTTTGGAACGCAGACAGTGAGAAAGTCGCGGCTATGAACAGAGACGACATCGATGCGGTGGGCGATGGGGAAGTGAAACCTGGGTGACGATGGGCATATGTGCATCCATGGGCACGGCTAGCTATGTCGAGTGAAAACGTGACCTAGAATCCTCTACAGCTTGGGCAATGGATTGGACGGAATGAAGTAATGGTCCTAACGCGTAAGGCGGAAATTCAAGACAGGCGCTAGAATGGGGTTGGAGCCTAGCTGCTCTACGCTATGGCTGTTGCTCTAGCTGATCAGACTGGGCGGTTTTGAACAACTTGAATACATTTCCGGTTTGGTGTGCACACCACAGCCCAGAGTTGTTGCGCAGGAATCTGAGCGACCCTTCCCTGTGTCGCTTGCGACTTCATCACGTTTTGCAGGTTCCCATCGGGAGGGAAAGCACCTCAAAACACATTTTGTAATTCAGGCTTCGGGTTTTAAATGTGACCCGCCCTAAAACCGTTTCGTGTACACACCTAAGACCTCTTTCACCCTCTTTTTGTCAGGGGAAGGAACTTCTTTTGTCAATCTCGTACCAGTTATTAGGAAACCAAGGGTACGTGCTTGGCCCATGTTAATCTTCGGGCCAGGCTGGTTGATACGAGGTGGAATTGACGAGCAGGAGGCAAATTTTACGATTTGTGTCAGACCTCCCTAGAGGGGCCTGCCACCAGGAAATCTTGGCCCGAAGCTTGACATGGGCCAAGAACGTACCCTAATGTAATTATGCCACAATTACCACGCAAGTACTGGTTCCCGTATTCTGTTGGCCCTGTTCTACAGGCAAGCATTCCCGTCGTGAGAATCCTCCCGGGGGCTTCCGTCGACAGTAAATTCAGGCTCGATAGGATGGCCAGCTCGAAAACGGTTGTCAAACCTAATGGTTTCCGTCCGAACCAAACGGAAACACATGACTGCAGAACAAACTGAGTGTGGAAACGGAAACAACGAAATGGAAGGTAGTACCCACCTTCCATCCTTAGCAATATTTGTTTCCGTTTCCATGCCAAGTGATACCCCCTTTTTATGGGAAGCACAGTGGCATGCAAGTGGAAACAAATGTCCAGGTGCAATCCGTTCTCTGCCCTCAAAACTTCAAACGCCATGATCCAACCACCTCCACTTTTAGGATGCCGAAGGGCTTTCAAGGTAGTGAATATTGGTACTGCTAGTTTATTATTGCTGTTGTTCTTTAGTTTCTCGTAAGGGTAGGTTAGGACCCCACCACAATTATATTCAAACAGCGGCCCCTATATATACGAGTAGACCTAAACTGTGTGAAATCAATTTCAAATACACCCCCCTACATTACGGGAAGGAGGGCCGACACCTACATCTTGAAAGGTAGAAACTTCTTGCACAAACGGATGAGGTTTCGCGGGGTAGTTGGGCGTGACAGTTCTAAGCGAAAGCTGTATGAGGGCTCCTGTGTTTCCGTTTCCACGCCGTGCTCGTCTGCCTGTAGAACAGGACCGTTAGCTTTTCGTGTTTTGATGGGAAAGAAGGGAGTAATTCATGCAAACTATCTGCAGATATGTGTTTTATTGTCGGCCTGCAGCCTGTGCCGTTGTCGGGCAATCGACGCTCGTGTAGATATAGTAGGCTGAGTGTATCTATGCACAAGCTGCACCCACGCCGCCGCTGGAGCAACGAGCGCTCCCCCGCACGGGTGTTCCATATCCGCGGCTCGTAGATCCAGGGCCTATATCTCTAGTTGCACCAGATTTTCAATTGCGAGCTTCTGAACTTCAAATTGCTAATTTTCACCCTTCCTCTCAACCTCTGAACTTCCCCATGACTTGATTTTGAACCCTAAAAGGGCCATGTTTTCAGCCCATTTTTTCTCGGATATACCAACATGGAGCGCCGCGTGCCATGCCATCCCCCCTCTTCGTCCTCTTTAAGCACCATCGGCCTTTTACTCTTGAACTCTTGTGTCGGCTCAAGATAGTCACCTCTGTAAAGCACTTTTGGTGGTACCTTTCTGCTCTTTTACTACAAATACTAGCTTACTACCAATGAGTGAAATGTCTCGATCCACAATCGCGTGGTACTTATGTCTGGTGTTGACCCATCTTGATGTCATGCGGTGACCGGCGCGGCGTGTGCCGCTGTGCATGAGGAAGCCGTTCCCGGCGTCAGCTTGACCGTGTCTCTTATCCACGTCCTCCCCTGCCGGCAATTGAGGAAACCGTTCTTTGCGTTCATTGCCACCCTTATCTTATCCTCCCCCCATCCTCCCCCCATCATTCCCCCTCCCCACTCCCCCCCCTCTCCCTGGAAGCAGCAGCAGCAGCGATAATTGAGCCTTCAGTGCCGCCGATACTACCCCTAGGCTGAAGTGCTGGGGACGGCCAAGGGTGTGTCGCCGCAGCACACCTTGCCCCACGTGCTACCGATCTTTTGAGATCAAACGAGTCGCTAAGATGAACGGCGCTTGCTGATACATCTACTTTTGAGGCGCCTCAAACCTAGACCCTGCACACCTTGCCCCGTGTGGTACCCGTCCGTAGAGATCAATTGAGCCGCTAAGATGAACGGCGTTTACTGATACATCTTCTAGTGTTTCCGCGCCCCTGATTATTCCCACATGATTCTGGCATGGCATGATGCTCCCCCACCAGCTGCGGCGTTGCTCACCGTCTCCGCTTCTGTGTCGGTCACTTCGCCATTCCTCGCGGCACATAGCTGCAGTGCATCATCATCATCCATGTTTGAGGCCACGAATCAGGTTGCCTAGCCCTTGGTGCGGAGAGGGAAGGCTGTGGGTGAGTCTTCGCTACATTGCTCTTTCCGTGCCAGTGGTGTTCCATACTGCTGCTGATACCAGTAGCAGCAGAAAACTCTGAGCCGCTTTTGAAATTTCTCATTAGTAGCAGAAGCTGTCAGCAGTAGAAGGTGCAGGTTCACCAAACTGAACCACTTCTTGCAAAGGTCATCGTGGTTCAGCGAGTTACTGCATTGTGAGGTTTCGTAAAATGCTACAGCCTCACCTACACAATTTTCTCTCTTATGTGGCCCTGCGAATCAACCTAAAACGTATTCTTTTGTCAACTTAGGGTCAGATTTGGTTTGACTCTTTTTGGAGAAGCTTGTTTTCCATGCGTTCCTATACCTGCCGTCCTAATGCCATTGAATTACGTGGTGAAGTAAAGACCTACTAAGGTCAACGGAAAAGTGGTCGGCTGCAAAGGTGCATCGAGAAAAGCAGCCTTGGAGGTCATGTGCGTAGTATAGTACCCACTGCCGTTGTTGCTGTTCCTTGTTATCAATTAGGACTGTTAGGAATTCCAATCACTTGCACTCTTGAGTGGAATCTCCAAATTCATGGATCAGGGAAGCCACAGCCCCCATCCAACGCTTCCCCCTACCGTCTTCTCCCTTTCCCCCTCTCTCTCGCCTCCTCCCCCTCTCCACTCCCTTCCAACCGCAACCCCCCCACCCCCTCTTCCTCTTCCCTTCCTCTCACGACCATCTCCCTTTTTGCTCTGTTCTGTTGGCAGGTACTCAGCAACGGTTCACTATTTCCTTTTGTCCGTCCGTGCCTTCAGGCTAAAAGTTGCTGGAGCCCGTCTCGGTGCCGGTTCTGCCTCTTCCTGCATTTCCAATGATTTTATGGGTGGCGTCGAGTGGTTTAACGTCACTAGTGACAAAGAAGGTCGCGCCAAGCGTTACAGCTTCAAAGGCCGCACGTCCATGGGACCAGGGACTTTTGCTCAAGTGAATGGGGTGTTAGAAAATTGGCTGAGCAAAGGCAAATACTTTGTGGTTGGTTACTTGTCGCAAACTGACAAAGTACTGTGTGGGAAGTTCAAGAAAGTGGCATAGTCATTGGCTGGAAATAGCTTCTTCTGGATGGCTTGCGTTGACGCTCTTATTAGGGTGTGAGTGACGCAAAGTGATTATGTTGAATTGGATCAAGTCTTTGGACTGCCCTTGTCATGATCTTGAAACTGCTTTTATCGAAACTGCTTGCACAAATAGCTGGATGTCCTCGAATGCTGCCCTGCCCTCATCTCCAATTATCGAAGTTGGGTTTTTTAATCCGTTATGTTACGGCCAAATAACAGCTGGCTGGGTGTTTAGACGGCATGGGGATAGAGCTACTCCATTGGAAGCTAAACGCCAGTTGTTGCACTTCACTTGCGTCGATTAGCCTTTTGTCGTTCTCTTCTCCCCCTCCAAAACCCCCCTCCCCTCAAGTCTTTCCCCTTCTCTCTCCCTCCCCCTCCCCCCCCACCCCACCCCCCCCCCCCCCCTCCCCTCCTCCCATCCCACCACCTATTGAGGCACCTTAGAAGTCCTTTGATTGCACTTCACGGAAACTGTGTTCCTCTCTTCATTGCAAGTCGTGTTCCTCTCTTCATTGCAAGTCGTGTTTCTCTCTTCATTGCAAGTCGTGTTCCTCTCTTCATTGCAAGTCGCCTCAGAAGTCCTCCCCTCCCACCCATAGCTTCCTGCCCTCCTCACCCTCCTCAATGGCTGTTCCCTCCGCCTTACCTTTCGTGCTTGTCCCCGTGTTCCCCTCTCCCTGCGCTCCTCTTTATCTCTCATTGTGCCCTTGCTCTTCCAGTGCCCTTGCTCTTCCAGTGCCCTTGCTCTTCCAGTGCCCTTGCTCTTCCAGTGCCCTTCCCCTGCTAGTGCTGTTGATCTGCTCTCCACCATCCTTTCACGCCCCTTTCTCTATGCCCTGTCCTTCCATTTCCTTCTTCCCCTCCTGCTCTCCTCACTCTCTCTCCCTTCCAGCACAGATGCCCCAGCAGCAAATGGCTCTGCTCAACGCCTTCCCTCCTTCGTCGCGCTTCCCCATCCTCCTCGGCTGCATGCCTGTCGCTGACAAGAAACGTGAGTCTCACACATACTGCAGAGAGTGCAGAGGGTGCAGAGAGTGTTTTGAGACGTCTCAAAACAAGCAATGTGAGTCTGACACGTAGCGCAGAGACTGAAGAGAGTGCATAGAGTGTTTTGAGACGTCTCAAAACAAGCAATGTGAGTCTCACACGTAGCGCAGAGAGTGAGGAGAGTGCAGAGAGTGTTTTGAGACGTCTCAAAACAAGCAATGTGAGTCTCACACGTAGCGCAGAGACTGAAGAGAGTGCAGAGAGTGTTTTGAGACGTCTCAAAACGAGCAGCGTGAGTCTCACACGTAGCGCAGAGTCTGCTTCCAACCTTGATCTTGCCACTTGCACAACCTTGCATCACCTGCACTCAGCTTACAACCTCCCTCTCCCTCGCCTTCTGCTTCACCCCATCTGCTTCTGCCTCGCAGGTCTTTCCAAGCTGTGGGACGAATCTCTTGCTGCGTCCAACCCTGCCACTGCCACCCACACCACTCTGCAACAGGCTCGCACAAAGTACAAGCTCCCCTCCCTGCAGTAAAGGGGGACTCACATCTTCATCTCCCCCTCCCTGTCTCTCCCCTTCATCCCATCTACTGCTGCCTCCCAGGTCTGTCCAAGCTTAGGGATAATGCTCTTGCTGCATCCACCCCTGCCACTGCACCCATACGGTCCTGCTAACACATGCACTCAGCTTACATGCTCCTTCTCCCACGCCTTTACCATGAACGATCCAGATGGACCAAAAGAAAGATCGAGAAGATCTCCACCATCTATTAGGAACTCCAGAACAGGCTTGGACGGTTCAGAAGCAGCAGCTGCTGTGTTGCTGCTGTGATTGGCCAAGCTGCCTCCATTTAATATCTCGATACTATCACTCCTTTTACAGTCACTCTTGCTACAGTCACTCAGCCCTTTACTCGCACCTCCCAGCATTCGCATATCCCAGAATCTCACACTACCAACCTGAAACTTCCCTCCTGTGGCGAAGACTTGTGGGTTGGAAGGATCTGGGTGGCAAACTGACATGGCGCCGCTCTGACGCACCTCTGCTACAGTAGCTCCTGATTCCACATCAGCAACTCGCACCGTAGCATCCAGGCTGGCTGTCAGGAGCCGGGCGGCGTCGTTCGTCCAGGACGAGTCTTTCACTGCTGCTCGGTGACCGTTAAACACCCTAACAAGGCAGGGAGGAAAAGAATTCACAGAATCTGGCCGTTCTCCTAGGACTCCACACTTTGACTGCCCCATCCATCCCTGCTGACGTCAGCAGATGGCCGTACTGTGGGGACCACCTAACACACGTGGCAGGGCGTGAGTGGGCTGACTGGATCCTGGGGGATTGGGAGGAAAGTGGGGAGACATGGGGAGATGGGGGGGGGAAGATAAGGGGAGATGAGAGGGGGTTGGGGAGATAGGAGGAGATGGGAGGAAAATCCAAGAAAGATAAGGGGATAGTGGGAGATAGGAGGAGCCAGTGGGAGATAGGGGGAGATAGGGGGAGATAGGGGGAGATAGGGGGAAATAGGGGGAGATAGGGGGAGATGGGAGGAAAATCCAAGAAACATAAGGGGATAGTAGGAGATAGATTAAGCCAGTGGGAGATAAGGGGAGATAGGGGTAGATAGGGGGAGATATGGAAAGATAAGGGGAGACAAGGTGAGATAGGGGGCAAAGGGGAAAATTACATGGAAACAAGCAGTGCATTAATGGGAACATAGGGGGAGAAACGGGGGAGGTATGGGGTCTGGAGAGATGGGGGGTTGGGTTGTGAGTGTTGGGAGGGAGGGGAAGGGGAGGGGGGTCGGGGAGGGTGGAAAACAAGACAGCTCACCGGCACATCAGGCGCCGCAACGATTTTGCTTCGCTGCGGAAGCGGGAGGGGGGAAGGGGAGGTCAAACTGACCCGCACATGAGGCGTCGCGGTGCAACGAATTGTGCAGCAGAAGCGCCTTCCTGGTCAGCCTCTGCGTGTTGGATCCGGTCAGGAGCGTTCGGGAGAGCTCCCCCGCCGTACGCGTTATGAGACGTCTCAATACCTGCGTTTCGTTTCCAGCCAGGCGCGTCCGGGAGGGCGGCTCCACGGCCGTGCGTGGTTCCCCGCGCAACAACTTCCCCTGCATCTTTATTGAGTAGCTGCCCGTGAGTGGAGAGAATATTTTTCTGCCCGTCCAACCTCAGCCGCTCCCGCTTGGACACGTAGCGCCGAGGAAACGGAATTTCTTCATTCGAGCCTTCGGCAGCCCCAGTCTGTTCTCTCGCTCCTGCTCCAACCGCCTCTCCATTCCACGCAACAGCTTCTTGTGACCTCTTCCGGTGAACGCTGCGCATGGCGCTCCTACGGTCTGGATTGGAACAGCCTAGTCCGCAAGTTCGGGTGAATTCTGCTCTGGTGCTCGAGACCGTCAACCAGAAATGATCGAACTGTTAAACCGAACAGGGAATTGTGTAACCGTGCAACGACGAGGACCGAGGGAACAGTCTGGCAAAAGCAGTACACCCTGTTTCGCGCTACACTGTCAATGGCTATACTAACTGATCGGATGTACACACATCAATGCGTCCAGGATGGTCCATGCACATACGATATAAGCACGTTTGCCCGCACTCAACCGTACCCAAAAGCAATTGTTTTTCTGAAAACCGTTGTGTACCGTTCACCAGGAGTCCATTTGCCCGTCACTATCTGCAGTTCGGCTGTAAGCACGAGACCGCTACGTTCCAAGCAACAGTACACACTGCAGCCTGTGAATCTCATTGTCAGTGTAGCGCAAAAAAAGGTGTATCAGGATTTCGACCAGTCGCCACAGTTGCATCCGTCGGGTAACGTTAACGTTTCGGACTATTTTCGGCCCTTTCATTTTTGCCAATCCCAAATTTGACGGGCCCCCAAAAGTTACTTTTGTTCAAGTTAGTTTGGTGAAGTTACTTTGGCAGGGCAATTGAGTCTGGTGCTGCTCCGAAACCAAACCAAATTTTGGAGCGCTGCTTCGTTTTTGGCTTGGGTTTCGAGGGATTGGTTTGGCGCCAATCACATTGCAGGTCCTGTGTCGCGCGCGAAATGCTCGGATGGCAGAATTTCGTGCGTCACTGTTCATCTGCGTTTTTTGCTACCTCAGCACAAATGTGCAAAGATGTTTCAATGTGCAAAGCCTTTTCTTTTAACTCCATACTGTTGCATATGTTTACTCTTATAAAAACATAATCGATTGCATAATATTTTCATGTCGAGCAATTAAAGTCACACAAAAATGGTTCCTCATGTAACGAAAAACAAGTTCAGCTTGTGACAAAATACTTCACATGAAGAAATAGTAAATAATGGCGCATTTCAACCCCGTTATCCTAACCGCACCAGATTTGACGAGCATGCAAGCAAGATAGTAAAATATTTTGGATGAGCAAAAGAAACCAAAATAACTGGACGTCGAAACGGCAACACGTGTCGAGACGCTTGATTGTGCGTTTGCTGGCCTGTGCAATGATAGGCTTGTGCGCAACATGTCACCGTTTCAACGTTTGGATGTTGTTTTGATCACTATTTCTTCACACATTCAGGTATCTCATCCTATTCCCTTGCTATAGGAACTGAGTTGATCTCGTTCGTCCAACTACACAGCACGTGACGCTTGTTTGTGTGTATGTTGGCCTGAATCCGTGCAAGGATAGGCATGCGCGCAACTTGTCACCGTTTCAACGTTTGGATGTCGTTTTTAGCACTATTTCTTCACACATTCAGGTATCACATCCAATTCTCTTGCTATAGGAAGCGATTTGATCTCATTCACTCAACTACGCAGCACGTGACGCTTGTTTGTGCGTTTGCTGGCCTGAATCTGTGCAAGGATAGGCCTGTGCACAACATGTCACTGCGCCAACGTCTGAATGCCTTTTTTACCTCTATTTCTTCATACAGCTCTCTACTAAATTCTATTACCTAGCCATAGGAACTTATTTCATCTTGTTAGCACAACTACGCAGCTCGTGGTGCATGTTTGTGCGTTTGCTGGCCTGAATCTGTGCAAGGATAGGCATGTGCGCAACATGTCACTTCGCCAAAGCCTGGATGCCTTTCTTACCACAATTTCTTCACAATTTTCTCTACTGCGTCCTATTACCTAGCCATAGAAACTGATTTAATATCGTTAGCACAACTACGCAGCTCGTGGTGCATGTTTGTGCGTTTGCTGGCCTGAATCTGTGCAAGGATAGGCATGTGCGCAACAAGTCACTTCGCCAAAGCCTAGATGCCTTTCTTACCACTATTTCTTCAAAATGTTCTCTACTGCATCCTATTACCTAGCCATAGAAACTGATTTCATCTCGTTAGCACAACTACGCAGCTCGTGGTGCATGTTTGTGCGTTTGCTGGCCTGAATCTGTGCAAGGATAGGCATGTGCGCAACATGTCACTTCGCCAAAGCCTAGATGCCTTTCTTACCACTATTTCTTCACAATGTTCTCTACTACGTCCTATTATCTAGCCATAGAAACTGATTTCATCTCGTTAGCACAACTACGCAGCTCGTGGTGCATGTTTGTGCGTTTGCTGGCCTGAATCTGTGCAAAGATAGGCCTGTGCGCAACATGTCACTGCGCCAACGTCTGGATGCCTTTTTTACCACTATTTCTTCACATTGTTCTCTACTACATTCTATTACCTAGCCATAGCAACTGATTTCATCTCGTTAGCACAACTACGCAGCTCGCAGCTCATAGCATAATCTATGAACTGATTTGATCTCGCTAGCATTACCTAGCCATAGCAACTGATTTCTCTACTACATTCTATTACCTAGCCATAGCAACTGATTTCATCTGTGCAAGGATAGGCCTGTGCACAACATGTCATTGCGCCAACGTCTGGATGCCTTTTTTTGTTAGAATGAGAAGAAATGGTTGTGACTAGAAAGAAGGAGAGTACAAGTACAAAACCTAGAATTGTGTACCCCCTAAGGCTAAACCCACTATAGCCTACAGAACCGTAACATGTATGACACACCCCCATAGGCAAAGTGGGGGAGAGCAAAGGGGTCACAAGACCAGTCAAGAAAGGCAAAGCAAGCTCAGGGTGGATCACAAAGTCACCACACACACTGAGCACAAGCAAAGGGGCACAAGGCCAGTTCACATGCAGAAGCATATATGCAACACAAACAGCACAGTGATCTCTACCTAGCAATGCAAACATGCAGGTATATATATATATATATATATATATCACAGTACAAGCAAAGCCTACAGCAAGTGAGGAAACGTGGGCACAAGCCCTAGCAAAGTGCAGAAACGCTGATGATCACCAGCCTGAAGTGCCTTGGTGAATATATCAGCAGTGTTGGCCCGAGTGGCCACGTAACGCAGACGAAGCTGACCACGCTGCTGCAACTCTCGAGCTAGGAAGTAACGCAGAGCGATGTGCTTCGTTCTGTGCTCCAGTCTGTGCTCCTCACACAAGGCAATGGTAGCCTTGTTGTCGACGTACATCACTGGAGGGGAACGAGGCCGCTCTCCCAAGTCGGTCAGCAGGTAGGTGAGCCAGCG